ATGTTGTGTCCACCGACAACTGAAAAATAAATATTAAAAAAATTCTCTTTCTCTTCTCTCTATCTTAAAAAAAAAGATTATTCAAAGAATTCTAAAATGCCCTCTAATACACACATCTTCATTAAATCACTTCTAAAAAAAAAATTGTGTTTTGAACAAGCTTTTTGAAGAAACAGAATCATTTAAAGTTCTTTTTTATTAGAATTTTGAACTTTTTTTTAATATATATATTTTTAGATGTTGATGGACCTTTGTTTTATTCATTTATTTGTATGCGGTGCTGAGAATCGAACACAGTGCCTCACACATGCTAGGCAAGTGCTCTACCACTGAGCCACAACCCCCCTCAGAATTTTGAATCTTTAATAGAGGGTTACTGAAAACCAAATTGTATGATTAAAAAAAAGAATGAACTCAATATATGCAACAACATGGATGAATTTCAGAATACCATGCTGAAAGAAGCCAGACACAAAACACTGTTTTCTGTGTGGCTCCATTTATAAGAAAGTCCAGAAAAATGGGAAGTAAGCTATAGTGACAGAAAGTATATTAACCAGTGATGGTGTGGGGATGAGGAAGGAGGGAAGCAGGAAGAGGCAAGGGCCGCAGTAGGGTGCTGGAAACCCGCCATAGTGGGTGCTTTCACTCTCTTGCTTGTCTGGATGGCTTCATGGGCATAAACATGTTAAAATTGTAGATGTTAAGTATGTGCAATTTATTGTTCATCAGTCATACCTCAATTAAGCTGTTTAAAAGAATAAAATGAGTGAAAAACAAAACAGAAGTGAAGAAAGAGTGCATTGAGTTAAATCAATAAAAGATAATTCAGAAACAATATCCTGCTGTCATCTTTGAAGTCAGCCACCTTCAAGCAGCTTTACCTTACCTGGAGCCACAGGTCAGTGGCAGAGTGAATGAAGGCAAGGCTCTGGATTCAATCCCCTGCACCCCCCTAAAAAAATTCTTTATTTTTTTTCAAATTTTTGTAGTTGTAGATGAACAGAATGCTTTTATTTTATTTGTTTATTTTTATGTGGTGCTGAGGATCGAACTCAGTGCCTTACACATTCGAGGCAAGTGCCCTGCCACTGAGCTACAGCCCCAGCCCAAAAAAATTGTTTCTTAAGGTCCTCCCTGAGGAGCTGAGAGGAAGTAGATATGTAGAGACTCAAGATTATATAGGTCACCCAGAGGGAATTCACTCTGGGAGAAACCCAAGCAGGAGGTTGCCAAGATGATTTAACCTCTGGATTTTATTTATAACTTCAGGAGTTTTTTGATTTTTTTTTTTTCCCTAGAGTACTGGGGATTGAACTGAAGTCCCCATGTATGCTAGGCAAGCACTTTACCGCTGAACTACAATCCCAGTCCCTATCTTCAGAAAATTATGTCAAGAGTTAGATATTTCACTTTTTTTCTGTTTAATCACTAGGTTTTTTCTTTTCTTTTTTCTTTGTGGTGCTGGGGATTGAATCTAGGACCTTGTGCATGTGAGGAAAGCACTGTACCAACTGAGCTATATATCCCCAGCCTGCAGAGAAACTTCCATGTTATTATTTTGAGATTTTTTTAAAAAATTTTAATTCTTCAAAATTGAATTATCATTTTTTGAACTAATTTACCTTTGACCAATACAGATGTCAAATTTTGGTTTGTTATCTTTAGTTCTGATTCATATATTTTTTTTTAAATTTAGATTTTTTTGTTTCATTATGGATTCTGTTTGAGGTACCTGTATAACAAAAGAGAAGACTGGAAAAAAGTATTATCAGGAATGTCAAAATCTAGGAAAAGTATTTAATTGTTCATGATGTTGACAACAACTTTGAAACTTTTTTATATCCTGTAGGTTAAAGTTGTACTCTTAAAAGGAGTTACTAAATCCTGTTAATTACATGTAGTGGTGGTTTGGTAAACATGTTGAAGGGAATTAGTGATTATAAGTGCTCTTTGTGCAATGTCTCATCTTTCTTACAATTGGATTCTTTTTACCAAAATTATCAGTAGTGGGAAAACTTTGTGTAGTTGCATATTTCCAGTATGATATGATTAGTTATTGATGCTTTGAAAAAAGATTTAGCCATAGTTATCAGCAAAGACATTATAAAGTACTATTAGTTTCTGTGTGGAAGGGATTTAAATTTATGGCTTGAAGTTTTTTTTATGTGTGTGTGTGTGTGTTTTCCTGTACTGGGGATTGAATGAGGTGCACTCTACCAGTAAGCTACATCCCCAGCACATTTTAAGACAGGGTCTTGCTAAGTTGTTGAGGCTTGCCTAACTTGCAATCTTGCCTCAGCCTCCTGAGTAGCTTTGATTACAGGTATGTAGCCATGCCTCACTGAAGCTTCTGCTTTAAAAAAGCATTTAATAGTGATAACACTATGCCATTTTTTATCATATTGTTTTTAAAAGTCTCAAAAAAACCCCCTCGATTTGGCATATTTTCATTATTTTAGGCAAGCTTACTAGTGGGTTATATCTATTAACATGTGAAACTTCTTTATTTCATATAATATATACTAAAATGTTGACTTTTTTTTCCCCCCAGTGGTTTAACTTGAATTCTCTTTTGACGGGTCCAGAATTAATATCAGATACATACCTTGCACTTTTCTTGGCTCAATTACAACAGGAAGGTAAATAAAGTCTTAAAACTTTGTAATGTTGTCTTTCAAAGTAGCTAAATAGAACTGTGTAATAAAGTTTTTCCATCAGAGGCAATAAAAATCTTTACATTTTGGGTGGTGAACTTTAGCCTGGGATCTGGATGATACTGTTCAGAGTGATTTCTCCCTGACGCCTGAGGCTTCTTTACAGCCCTTCTAAGTAATAGTTTTTCCTTTCATGTCCCATATACCACAGGCCCAAGGGGAGATATGGATATTCTTCTTGTTTGTCCATGTCCCTTCTAAGCCAGTGTTCCTCCCTGTTAAGTCGAGCTCCTTTGAAATATATGCCTCTAGACTAGGCTGTATGTGTCCTTTTGGAGTCATCCCTGAGCTGCCTCTGTTTTCACTGGAGATTTAAGGATTCATGTATATCCCCCACCTTCAATTTCTTATATCATTCTTAGTGATTTTTTATATCAGTAATCAATCTGACCACCTTCTTTCTTAAAAGATTGTTGTCTTCACTTTCTCTTTGCCATTACTGATAACCATAACCATTGTCAAGTCCCAGTTATAAGCATCCTGTTCTTTGACTATCACCTCCTGTCTTTAGGCCATGTTTTCTCTGTTTTTCGCATTCTAACAATTCTTTAAATTCTACCATGGGACCCAGACATCCCCTTAAACTATTACTTTCTTTTTTACCCTGCTTATTTTCTATGATCCATCAATATTTTTTACTTCTCTTCATTCTTCAATTTCTTTCCCTTTCTCCCTCCATTATAATTTTAGTGACTAAAATCTGAACTCTACTTATAATCCTATTTTGGCCTTGGCCATTCCTGTATCACAGCAACAGAACATGGTTGAAAAAATAACATAAAATATGTTGATTGGTCTTGTGATTACAGGTCTTGTGATTATTAATGTTCCCTTGATGTGCTGCCTGAACTGCCTATTGTATTTCCTTAGTAAATTCATGTACCATTCTCCAAGATGATTATGTCATAGCTTATCTCTTTAAACCTTTGGCCACTTCCAGCTTCCTTCCTTCCACCTTGCTTATGGAAGAGCATGGAAGCAATTAAAATTGAACTTTATTGTCCACCAGCAAATCTGCCAGCTTGTTTATATCTGCTTGTGTTTGAGCCTCTTAAAATAGATGAACTGTCTCCTGCATCCAAACTAGACCAACCCCTCCATGTGATTGGATACCAGCTCTTCCTACTTAAGATGCCCCTGCTCTTAGCTCTCCATTGTCTTGGGTGATTATTTCTTTCCCCTTTTTAAATTTAGTTTTATTTTATTCCTATCAGTGGAGAAATAGCTCTTTATCTCCATTGATTAAAAAGGAAAAGCATCTCTTAATTCCACAGAACTCTGGCTGCTTCCCATTTTAAATTTTCCTCTTGAACTCATCCCTAGTGTGTTGTCTCCTATTCTTGAACTCATTCTAGACTTGCTGCCCAAACCAGTATGTCACTGAAAAACCTTTCTCAGTCTCACCAGTGACCTCCGTTGCCACTGCTGGTATTCAATTCTCAGTCTTCTTTTTATTTGAGGGTGTAGTTGATTATACCCTTTTATAAACACAACAAAACAAACATTTTAAAAAATCAGACAAAATATATAACAAATGACACCTGCCTCATGTACCCTTCACACAGCTTTAACAGTTATTATAGCCTTTTATTTGTACCTTGTCTGTTTCTTTCCACTGTTTATTTTGGAGCAAATACTGGGTATTTTATTATTTTTCTATGAAGTATTTTCTTAATAAGTTTTTTAAAAATGAAAACTAAAAAAATAGCCAAAATAACTGTATTCACATCTTAAAAAATTTAATCACAGTGCTTTTAAAAACATCAAATACCCTGTGAGTATTCAAATCTCTAGTCTCTCTGGTTGTCTTATGTGTTTATAGTTCAGTCTGGTTTGAAATAGAATTGTATTGGGTTGGTATATTTCCTGAATCTAATTGTAGGATTCCTCTCCTCTTCATTTTTTCCTGTATTACTTTATTTATTTTATGGGGTAGAGGATGAGTCATTTGTCTTGCTTCTCAAGTTCTGGATTTTGCTCATTAACCTCTCTTTTTCATGTCCCTAGATATTCTGTTGCTGGTCTTCAGATCAGTAGACTTGATCCAATTCAGGTTGATTTTGGGGGTAGATAGAGAGATTTCACAGATGATGTGGCTCTTGATAGTTGTTCTTTTGTGATCTTCACCATTAGTGATTAATGCCTAGATCCGTTTTTCACTGAAGGTTGTAAAATGGTGATATTAGAATCCTGTCATTCCTTCATTTATTAGCTGGGATACTTCTATACCTCATTTATTTCATAAATAAAATACTTCCTCTCCTCATTTATTTCATAGTTTATATAGAAGAGGAAGAATAAATATTTTTTTCCCTCAATCTTTTGTGTGTGTGTGTGTGTGTGTGTGTGTGTGTGTGTGTGTTTGAACTCGTGGCTTTGCACATAATAAGCATGTGCGCTGTTACTGACTGAACACCTCTGTCCTTTTGTCAGTTTTTAAAACAAATTGGTTTTGTGTGTCCTCCAAAGGTGATCAATTAATTTTTTCTTTTTTTAAAACTAAAGCACCATTATAAATTAATCAGTTAAAATGTAGTTCACATGTTTCAGTCCTTTGTAAATATTATTCATATTAACATTCAAATTGTACCATCATTGACCAGTGGGAACATTTTGGAGTTTACTCCCAAGTGTCTGACATGACCATTGGTCAAGACCATTGGTCATGTCAGACACTTGGGAGTAAACTTTCTTGTTTAACAGGATGTTCCAGGTTTATCTGTGCATTTCCTGCCCTCATTTCTCCAAGGATACCTGGAGCCTTTCATTAATGATAATTACAGATCACAATCTGAGCATGGGGGCATGCTTCTTATGACTAGGTTGGACATCTTCTTGTCATTTCGATTTGCGTTTATGATTACAGTGTTTTTCCTTGTTTGGTTTTATATACTTGGGTATCTTGTCTTTTAGGCCTAAACCCTTGGTTCCTTGTCATGTCTTGCCTTTTTGAAACACCCTGCTCCTGGTTTCAAGGTCCCCATGCTCTGGTTTTCCTCAGGTCTCATAGGCTGCTGCTTTCAGATTCCTTTTATGGATCTTCTCATTTCCGATCTGTAACTGTTGAAGTGATCCAGGGTACAGTTCTTGGACAGTTTCTTAATTATGTTCTACTCCATGATTCTGTTAACTCTAAGATTCTAACAGTATTCTAACAGTTCCCAAACTTTTTAACCTAGATACCTGCTCTGAACACCAAACTCCTAATTTTGACATTTTTACCTGGAAGTCCAGAAAGCAGTTCATGTTAATTCACAAAAAAACTGATTTTTTTTTTTTTTTTTTTTGCTGCTGGAGTGTTATTTTAAAAAATATAATGCATATTATATCCCACACTCACTCTTTACCATTCAGTGGCTTCCCAACACACTTAGAATAAAATTTAAAATTTTGGATAAAACCCAAGAACTCTACTACTTTACCTGAATGAGGCAGAGTGTCTACTTTTAATGACATGCTCCATGGAATACCAAGGTGAGCTGGCATATTTATTCTATGATCTAGAAACAATTTCAGTTTTACTGGCAGAAAATGTGTTAAGCCATGTGAACTGTGAATATACTTGTTCTTGTAAAGTTAAATGTACTAGTTTGAGTTTTACATGAATAATTCTTTTGATCTTTGATTCATTCTTTTTTATTTTTAAGAGAGAATTTTTAATATTTACTTTTTAGTTTTCGGCGGACACAACATCTTTGTTTGTATGTGGTGCTGAGGATCGAACCCGGGCTGCACACATGCCAGGCAAGCGCGCTACCGCTTGAGCCAAATCCCCAGCCCTAATTTTTATTTTTTTTATTAGTTGTTCAAGACAATACAATGATCTTGAGTATCATACATTTGATTCAAATAGGGTATGAATTCTCATTTTTCCACATGTACAGATTGTAGGATCACATTGGTTATACATCCATGTGTATACATACAGCAATCCTAGTGTCAGTTGTATTCTGCTGCCCTCCCTATCCCCCCTCCACTCCCCTCCCATCACTATTCTCTATTCATACTACTGTGACACTTATCTCTTTCTCTTTTTTTTTTCCTTCCTTTCCCCCTCACACCATCGTATATGTATTTTGTGAACCCATAAGGGTCTCCTTCCATCTTTACATGCATTTCCCCTTCTCCCTCCCTTTCCCTTCCTCCTCTTTTCCTTATTTCGTGGTAATCTTCTTCTCATGCTCTTCCTTCCTACTCTGTTTTGAGTCATCTCCTTATTGGACCATGAGCTCTCGACCACATATGGTGAGGCGGGATCTAACTTTGCTTAGCATGATTTGCTCTGGTGCCATCCATTTCCCTGTAAATGCCATGATTTTGTTATTTTTTACTGCTGAGTAATATTCAATTGTGTATAAATGCCACATTTTTTTAATCCATTCATCTGTTGAAGGGCATCTGGGTTGGTTCTACAGTCTAGCTATTGTGAATTGTGCTGCTATGAACCTTGACGTAGCTGTGTCCCTGTAGTATGCTCTTTTTAGGTCTTTTGGGTATAGTCTGAGAAGGAGAATAGCTGGGTCAAATGGTGGTTCCATTCCTATCTTTCCAAGGAATCTCCTTACTGCTCTCCAAATTGGCTGCACCAGTTTGTAGTCCCACCAGCAATGCAGGAGTGTACCTTTTTCTCCACATCCTAACCAGCACTTGTTATTGTTTGACTTCATAATGGCTGCCTTTCTTACTGGAGTGAGATGATATCTTAGAGTGGTTTTAATTTGCATTTCTCTGATAGCTAGAGATGATGAGCATTTTTTCATGTACTTATTTATTGATTGCTTGTATATCTTCCTCTGTGAAGTGTCTGTTTAGATCTTTGGCCTATTTGTTGATTGGGTTATTTTTTTGTTGTTGTTTAACTTTTTGAGTTCTTTGTATACTCTGGAGATTAGCGCTTTATCTGAAGTGTGAGGGGTAAAAATTTGTTCCCAGGATGTAGGGTGCCTATTTACCTCACTTATTATTTCTCTTGCTGAGAAAAAACTTTTTAGCTTGAATATGTCCCATTTGTTGATTCCTGATTTTAACTCTTGTGCTATAGGTGTCCTATTAAGGAATTTGGAGCCCGATCCCACGAGATGGAGATTAGGGCTAACTTTTTCTTCTATTAGATGCAGAGTCTTTGGTTTGATTCCTAGTTCTTTTATCCATTTTGAGTTAACTTTTGTGCATGGTGAGAGAAAGGGATTCAATTTCATTTTGTTGCATATGGATTTCCAATTTTCCCAGCATCATTTGTTGAAGATGCTATCCTTTCTCCAGATTCATTCTTAATATTCACAAAGGATATCCAATAATAATCAACAAAGTTTAAGAGAATTTATGGTAGAAAAACTTTAAATCAATTAGATGTAGGTCTAGCCTACCTGTATTCAGTTTCTGTGTGGAACATCCAGCTGGAAAAGCCCTGGCCTCCTGGCTCATATTCATAAAAAATTATATTGGAGAGTGTAACTCCTTCCAAACAGGAGCTACATATTTGTCATTTTGGCTAGATTTTATATTAACTTTCTACCTCCCATTTTCAATTAGAAGGGATGAGTGTGGGTTATGGTGGCCAACAGCTGTTTGCACCTGTGACTCATTTTAATTTTACCTACATTACCCGTTGTTATACACATTATCTTACTGTGTCTTCACATCAGTTTGGAGTAAGGTTCTGGTATGGTCTGATCAAGAATTGAAGAAATCAAGACAGATTGGTAACATAATTGACCAACACCATGCAGGTGGGAGGTAGAAGATCTGAGATTGACCCTACATGGTCCAATTCTAAATCCTTTGTTCTTCCCCACTTCTTTAGTGAACTGCTTCTCTGTCCCCATTTAGTGGGTAGTCTGTTGGGTCAAGTTCTGTATCAGTAGGGCTTTAATAAACACTGTTCCCCTTATTTCTCGTAGTCACTCTGGAAGATAACTATTTTAGTGTTATAGGTAGGGAAAATGAGGCTCAGAGACTTTAAGTAATTTGTCCTGGATGAATACATGTAAGAATCATCATTTGATCCCAGGTCTTTCTGCATCTTCAGCTTGGTTCCCTCATCCCCCCATAATATGCTGCCTCTCTGTTATCATTTAAAGTCAGTTCTGAATCTCTTTCTAGTTGTTTTAGTTTATTTTTGCCTTTTTTTAGGTTATTCTATATTTGTTGTTAAGGGTGATCTACCAGATTGTGAAGCTGACCAGCTTCTGCAGATGATAAGGGTCCAACAAATGCACCGACCAAAACTTATTGGAGAAGAATTAGCACAACTAAAAGAACAAAGGTAAAAATTAGCTTATAGTATAGAATATATAATAGTATTTCATTACAAGAATTAAACTTCCATGCTTGCATTTAATGTGTGGTGTTTTACAGGGTCTCTTTTTTAGGCTTTTCATTTTACTTTTAAATTTTGATTGATGGATTGATTGTGCTGGGGATTGAACCAGTTTCCAAGCATGTGTCCTACCACTGAGCTACACCCCTAGCCCTCATGTTTTCTTTATAAGAGACAGAGTCTCATTGTGTTGTCCAGGTTGGCCTCAAATTTGCCATCCTCCTGCCTCAACCTCCTGGGTAGCTGGGACTGTAGGTATGTGGCATTGCACCTGGCTAGGATTTAGTCTAGTTTTGTTTTGTTTTGTTTTTGTGGTGCTGGAGATTGAACGCAGGGTCCTGTACATGCAAGGCAAATGCTCTACCAACTGAGCTATATCGCAGTCCTATTTTAGCAAAGTTTATTGAATTAGTTTGAACGAATTCTTTGAATTACTTAAGTGTATTAACTTAGGTGCACATTACAATACCATCTTCATTATTAGAGCTTATCTGACAGAAAACTTATTTGTACTTAAAATCTTCAGTTTGCAAATGCCTTTGTATTATGTCTAAAGTTAAAGACTAGGGCAGCAGTTATTATGATTGCTTTTGTTCTTCAGAGTCCTTAGAACAGACCTGGAACGGGTTTTAGAAGCAAATGATGGATCAGGAATGTTAGATGAAGATGAGGAGGATTTGCAGAGGGCTCTGGCACTAAGTCGCCAGGAAATTGACATGGAAGATGAAGAAGCAGATCTCCGCAGGGCTATTCAGCTCAGTATGCAAGGTATAAATATTGTAATGTGTACCTTATTTTTGAAAAATTGATTCAGATTATTCTTAGTTTTCCTGGAAATTAGTGTATTGTTACTATGCGTTCTTAAACAGTTACTGCAGAAGCTATGCACAGTCAGCTTTTCGTTTAGATTTCTTATAACATATATCACTTTTACAACTTATATTAGAACTGTTATTAGTTACATTTAGGAAATGTAATTATATTTTAATTTATTTTTTATTTTATTTGATTATTAAACTGTACTAAAAAACAGTAAATTTAGGGTAATCTTTGTAGGCGTCAGATGACCCTTATCCAAACCAGTTCCTTCAGAAATGTATGCATTGGATGTGACAGAAGGACTGGACAGAGAATATAAATTGATTTGACAAAAATTTAACACTTATTGACTATGCAACTTTAAGCTTAATTGTGCTTAATTGTGCTCAACAAAGAGCAAATATCTATTCCCTCAGGAATGTAGGCATAGAAAAATGCTGACATAGCTTAAAGTGTTTAACTTAAGTGTGAAGTGGTTTATTTTTGTAGTTTTGTTTTAATTTCACTCATACAAATTGGTTTCTACTCTCTAATGAAATCACTCATCAACTGAATTTCTTAGTAGTCTAACTATACTTGCGATTCCATGTATACAAAATTGTTTCTATCCTGACCATCTCATGCCTCCCAACATACCACTGAATACTCCATTTGGTGTACAGTACCAGTTTTTACTAGTCAAGCCCTGTTGGCTTAGCCTAGTAATCTGAGTTGTATTTATATAATTCATTTCTCTTACCAGTTTACAGGTTGATAAAAATCTCTGTTGTAATACCAGATATTGTGGTAGAGGAGTATCGAGAATGGATTTGTCTTAGGATCATTTGCCTAATGATCTACACCTTCAAGACATGGGTTTGAGGAACACTCTGTCTTGAAGGTGTGGGTTCATTTTTAATAAATTAAAGAGAGCATACACGTGTGATGTTAGTGACTTCTCATACCAGGTTGCTTTTTGGACTTTATTCTCAGAACTGTTGCATTGCATGTGGGTGTCAGCTTTGAATGTGATAGACGTAAATTAGATTTGGTGTGCCTTAGTCCATGAGACTTTCACAGCCCTTCTGATACTTTCAAAATCTTAAAAGCTTGTTCAGATAAGAATAAACATCATCTCTTGAATTGTTGAATAAAACAATTGCTTTTTGCTCTTTTATTTTGTTTTTAGGTAGTTCCAGAAATATATCTCAAGATATTCCCCAGACATCAGGTACAAATCTTACTTCAGAAGAGCTGCGGAAAAGAAGAGAAGCCTACTTTGAAAAGTAAAGTAGTTGGTACAAATTAAAGTTGCATATTTAATATTTGCTTTGGCTATTTTGTCTGTTTGTAAATGTCTGGTTACCGCCTGAAGTTTGTGTATATTTAAATGTACTTAAAAATTTTTACAGCAAATAAAATACAAAATGAATGTAGTTTTAGGGAAAAACTTTGCCACAATACAGGATAAATTTTAAATGAAATAAAGTGAAAGAAACATTGTAAAACTTTTGTTAATCAAAGGAAAATAGAATTAGGCAAGGGAAGAACAATGCCTGTTGATCCTGTGTGTGCAGAATTCTTCACTAGTTAATAAGATAAACAGCACTGGAGGCAGGGAGCGCACTTCCAGATAGAGGTGGTGATTCATGGTCCTGCTCACTGCCACTTTAGATGGGGCCTGCAGGCCTGTCAGCCTCAGAGGCATGGAAGCAAACAGCAAATCTCAATCTTCAGTGCCTAAAACCTTATTTTGTGCATAGCTTTATAAAGTGCTCGCAAAAGAAAATTTCACCCTATAAAAATATCTTCCTTCTCAATAATTATCATTTTCAATTCTTCTCTTTTTCCTTTTTTAAAGGAGAAATAAAATATGTCTTAAGGAGTACAAGATCTCTAATAGATATTCAGATCCTCTGATCCAGGTCCAATCCAAAGACCAGTGACTGAATCTGGTCTGTTGGTTACTGTATTTCATCAATTCGAAAGTGCACATATACTATCAACTTTTCTACATCTCTGAAATGAGAAGCATCTTAAAATTATAATTGGCAGTATTTAGTGATAACTAAAATAATGGAGCATTTTGCATCTGATGGTATAATGAAGATAATATTTACTTTTTCTGTTTTCTGTTTTTTTAAGTCACAACTCAGAAGTATATGAAGGAAAGTTCTGATCAGCTGACATCCTGTTAATGTGAGATATTTCTAGTCTTTATTCAGTGATATAGTGCTTTTCACATTTTAATTATAAAATTAATTTTTAATTTTCATAAACTTCAGATTTATACATATATGGTGAACCTAGCATAATGAACCCATTTATTCAGATTTAACAAACATTAGCACATGACCAACCTCATTATTTTATGCTCCCAGCTCTCAGTTCTTTTCTATTCTTCTGTCCCCAGGCTTAGAGTATTTTGTCATCATATTATTTAATTTATATTATCTAGTTCATAAATTTAAAATGTCTCTAAAAAATATGTAGCTAAATGCTGTTGTCACAAAATAATCATCACATAATTAATAATTCTAAATCATCAAATATCTAGTGTTAAAAATAACCTAAAATTACTTAAGTGGATGAAACTAATATTCTAGAAAATTTATTTTAAGAAATTCCAAAATTAAAAGAAAGTATATTTCCACCGTCTTTCAATAACCAATATCAGTATTTGGGCACATTGTTTTCTGGTCACATAAAGACATACATACTATATGTTAAAACATTTTCCCATGACAGTAATATTCTTTATATACTAGAGTGCATGATGTTTCATAAAGTGAATGAGTATATCATAATTTATTTATTAACCTTTTGGTTTTTACTGTTAAGACTTTGGGTGTAATGAACAATCCTTGTTCTGACTCTGCTTCTTTCTCATCCTTTCCTCTAATTATTCTGAGGATGTCAGATACTGGATTAGTGTATGAGATCATTTTTAAGGTTAAGTCCTCAGTACAGATTTCTAAATAAAGTGTTTTTCAGAATAGTTCTCAAATGATATTTCTACCATGTTTATTTCAGACCTTTTTTCTTTTGTCCAGAATCAGATGATGCAAATAGTTATACTTTTTTTTTTTGGTACCAGGGATTGAATCCAGGGCACTTAACCACTGAGCTACTTCTCTAGACCTTCTAATTAAAATAATAATAATAATAATAATAATTTTTAAAATGAAAGTTCGTGTGTGTGTGTGTGTGTGTGTGTATATATTTTTTTTTTAGATGTTGATGAACCTTAACTTTATATGTGGTACTGAGAATTGAACCCAGTGCCTCAACACAGGCTAGGCAAGCGCTCTACCACTGAGATATGACCCCAGCGCCTAAGACCTGTTTATTTTCTATTTAGTCACAGGGGCTTATAGAGTTGCTCAGGGCCTCGCTAAGTTGCTGAGGTGGCTTTGAACTGTTTTTCCTCTTGCCTCAGCCTCCCAAGCTGCTGGGATTACAGGCAAGCAACACCTCACCTAGTTCTTTGTAGACATACCTTATAGAAAAGCTACAAAACTCACAGTACACCTAAGAAAACGAAAACATTTCAAGTATAAAAATAAACCCATCTTTTATTTACATTTCACTTTTTTTTAAGACTTTTTTTGGATTAAAAATGTGAAACTATCCATCAATTTTCCTTTTAATAGTAGTGAAGATAACTTAGTAATGGCTAATTATAACAAGCAAAATTCAAAAGTAATAACTAGGTTTGTTTTTTTTTTGTGTGTGTGTGTGTTTTTTTTTTAAGTAAAATGGACATTTTGGTCAACCTTGCACCCTTTTTTAAACTTTCAGGTATTGGTGTGCCTCCTTCTAATTGGAGGATAGTACATTGAGGATTAAAGATGATTGTCAGCTTTAGCCTTTGTCCTCTGCCTCCTGGTTTTACTTTGAAAATACTAGTGAGAACTTTAAATGTTAGAGAATATTTTCACATAGTCACATGTTGCTGAGTTTAAGAGTTGAACTTTTTGATGTTTGTTTTTAACATTGGCTAGCATTCAGAACTTTATAAAATAACTTCAAGAACTGAGAAACTAATATTTGCCTTTCACTAAAATTCCTGATTACTTATCCTGGATGGGTTCTTATCTGTCTAGCTCAGGGCACTTGCTCAAAGCTCATCAAGCTAACTGTTCTCTTTCAATCTCCCTAAACTGATACTGGTGCTAACTTGTTATTCATAAAGTTTTATAGGGTTCCCCACTTCCGGTTATATATTTGAAACTTCATAATTAGTATAGTAACCACAGTACTTGTGCATAAAGCATACCATAAGATTTCTTTCTTATGTAAAAAATACCGTTAAAAATCTACCTACTACAAATTTGTAGTTTAAGATTTGCGAAATAATATTTTCATAGCCTGGACATTTTTTCCAGCAGTAATTTCTAAATTACTTGTCGAAAAAACCCCAAGCAAAATTCTACTATATCAGCCATGTCACTATAAAATCTGCTTTAACTTGTGTGTTATGAGGATCAGATTAAGCAGTGGGTATAAACTGTTTTGTAAACTGTATTTTATTACTAATGTGTTCTCCAGGTATAGTTTGCAACAATGCAGATTTTTTTTCTGTTGCCTAAAGGCAGTTTCCCTACAAGGAAGGACACAAATATTATTTCCATGGTCATAGTTTGCAGTGACATTTTTTCTTCCCCTCAGTTGACAGAGCCAGCTGAGGTTTTGTTTTGGAAAAAACAAATGAATTGGTTTTGGATTGAGGGCATGGACAAGAGGGGGTGCAGTAGATTTCCCCCGGGGTGGAGCTGAGAACCGGGACTGAGCCTTAGGTGGGTGGGTCTCTTGTTCCCTGTGTTCCTCTGTGTAGGTGTCTCCTTCTAGGCTCCACCATAGCTACAGGAGAGGGAAGGCTGGGAAGGGACTTGGGTAGGCTGGGAAGAGACTTGAGAAGGCAGAGGACTTCGTCACTAGCTTCTCATTGTAGGTCTCAGTCTTTTCCCCACCCATGGCTTTGGTGTAGCTGAAGGACCTGGACCCCCTAACAGAGGTGGAGCTGGACTGAAAGACACTCAGCCCCATCATAACGAGACTCACGTTCTGCATCCAGGACCAGTATCACATTCATAAGCTCCTGTACTCACACAGTTGTCATGTCATGTCTTGCTTGGCCTGCCATAGGGTAGCCCCAGCTAGCTGGCTTGGCCTTGGCACCCTTATTGTCCATCTCCCTACCTTGTTGTCCAGCACCAGCAGGGGCAGCCTCCAGGTATATCCTCTGACATTTGAAGGCCTCACTTTTTGCCCAGAGGTGGCTGATGTTGAAGTTCATCTCAGAGATCAGCAAGCTGTTTCATTGTGGCCTTGTTCTGAGTGAGGACCTTGCGATGGTGCTGTCCATGTCCAGGGAGTGCTGGGCTTCATGGACAGCACCACAGAGCTGCATTTTCCGATCTTCTTTTCATATGGCTGCCTGTGGAAGTTGATCTCATCAGTCAGCCCTTCCAGATGAGACTCCAGCTGTATCTTGTTCTTAGAATCCTCATCCCCATCCTTCCTGATGAGGACACTGATTCTCCATCTCTGCATGCTTATTGATCTTATTCTCATATGTATTCTTGAAGTCCTCCACCTTCTCTGCGTACCACCGAGCTCTGCCTCCAGCTTCAACTTCTCCAGGCCCATTGACTCTAGCTGCTATTGAAGATTGTCAGTGTGGCTCTTAAACATGTTTTCCATGTCACTCTGAGCTATCTTCTGCTGCTGCAGGAGGCTTCACATGGTCTCCAGCATTTTCTGCTCCAGGAACCATACATTATCAATGAAAGCAGCAAATTTGTTGGGAGTTTTGATATATTTCTCTTCCTGAATATGCATGGCCTGGATGTTGGGATCCATCTCCAGTTCAAGAGGCCTCAGCACTCTGTGGTCCACTGTGATGTTTGTGATGCCCCCCCATATCACCAACCTTGCCATGGCCACTGGCTAGACCTCTGCCAGCACATAGTCTGCCCCAGAAGCTGCTCCTGCTGCCCACCCAGGAGAAGCTGGAAGAGTTGATATGCATACCAGGTACACTCATGTATGTGTAAGTGGCTACTGGAGGCCCTGGAGCCATAGGTGGACACTGAGTAGGACTTTTGGGTCACCCTGATGGACATGGTGGAGGCTGGAGTAAAGGCATACAGGCTAAAGATGAGATTTGTGAATCTGAGCAGCTCTTTCAGATAGTCTGCGGTGGCTTTTCTGAGCCATCACTTCAGTGGCATGGCATAATTTGACAGGGTTCAATTTAAGAAGCAGAAACTATTAGGGGTGTTTAAATAGAGTAGTATTCAATGCAGAAATTAGTGGCGTAAAGTCTTAGGAAAAGTGGGAGGGTGGTATTCTAGGCCTCCAGAATACCACAGTCCACCTCTGGCAATATTTGCAACTCCTACCCTGTTGGGACGATGGCAAATCAGGATTTTTGTCGGAGGAGAATACCAGGGTTTGAACTCAGGGGCACTTGACCATTGAGCTACATCCCTAGCCCTATTTTGTATTTTATTAGAGACAGGGTCTCACTGAGTTGCTTAGTACCTCGCTAAATTGCTGAGGCTGGCTTTGAACCCATGCTCCTCCTGCCTTGGCCTCCTGAGCTACTGGGATTACAGGCGTGCGCCACCGTGCCTGGCCCAATTCAGGATATTGAGTTTAAGAACACAGTGTTACAGCTGTGATCCCAGGGTCAGGAAGCCACTGCTGCACCTACCTGGACCTGGGAGCATGAACTCTGGCCTCCACAGTGACAGCCATGTAACAGGATTCAGGGACTGTATCTCCATAACTTTGCTTACCAGCAGAGAGCAGCCAAGGTAGCAGGAAGATGGCTGTACCTCATTTCTGCCTTTATAATCTCATACGAAGGCTTAATTTGTAACCAGGATCCTATCTGTAAAGGAGTGTTGGTCTTGCGGGTTTTAGCTTGGTGGCCTCTGTAATACTAAAGGCACATTAGAATGCACAGTGGAAATGGATGCTGAGTGCTGTTTGAACATGTTCCATCTCCGTGTCTTCGAGGCTGAAAGGTGTCAAGATTGTTTCAAAGTTGGCAGTTGTTTTTCTTCTCATTTTTTATCAATTAAAAGTAGAATAACTCCATAAATATGTGCAATTATTAATGTCATTAATATTAATTTAAAAATAAGAAGTAGGATAAAGGTTATCCCTCTGAAGTTGCTGTCTGTCCTATCACTCTCTTGCATTCCGACATTTATTCTTGAGTAGAAGAGAGAAGGCGTGGAAGTTATCTGATGTGCCAGAAATTCCCGAGAAGTCTGTCTGTCTCATGTCTTGGCTCAGAACCAGGACATGCTAGTGGAGCATGCTGCCCACGCATGCACCATTAGCTATGAACATCGGCAGGTCATACACCTGTGCTGCATCAGCATTCTATCTCAGGCCATCAGGAAGAAATCGAGTTACCACTGGTGGAATTTCTTTTGTTGCTCACATTTAAAATTCAAGATTGAGAGGCACACCAGGGGAAAAAATATGCCATTCTATTAATAGTGTTGCTGATAGTTTTAAAATTCTGTTTCCTTTTTAAATATGACTTCAGATTCTCAGCCATTTATAAAATATGTTTTTTTAGTATTCTGTGTATGTGTTTTTACATATGAAATAATTTCAGACATACATAAAAGCAGAAATAGTACACAGGGCTCCTTATCCCGTCAGTTCCCTGCACCCAGATTTTCCAGCTGTTGACCTTTCTGAACCATTTGGGAAAAACTTGCATCATTTCTCATTGTGTCTCAATGCTTCAGTGTGTATTTTCTAAATACAAGGAAACACTCCTACTACCTATTGCCTGTTTGTTGGAGATAGGATCTCACAGTGTTGCCCAGGCTGGTCTCAAACTGCTGGCCTCAAGGGATCCTCCTTCCTGCCTCAGCTTCCCAAATACCTGGGACTGAGGTGTGTGCCACTCCACCCAGTATCAGTCCTATAACTGGCATGTTTCCATGTTAAAAAATATGGATTTTATGACATTGTTTTTACTTTAAAAATACAGAAGAACTTATTGCAATACAGTCTACTACTGAAAGCTTGATAATATATGTTTTATAGTTGTTTTCGTGTCTTTAATTCATCAAGTACCTGATAAATGTTTACTATGTGACAGACACAGTGTTAGGCACTAGAGAAATAGATAAACAGGACTAGGTTTGTATTCTTGCTAGTTTATTCCCCAAGAAAGAAACTAAAGAGAAGAATATCAGATGGTAGTAAGTTTATACTGAGGATTAAAATGAAGTAATGAAAATAAACAAAATGAAGTAATGAGATAGAACACCAGGTGGCTACTTCAGGTGGGTGTTTAAAGGCATCTTTGGAGATGTTTAAACTCAGAAAGACCTGAAGGATAAGAAGGGAAAAGATCATGTTAATTTACATGCTATTTCGAGGTGATTTCTCAGAGTCCCTTTTCAGTGACTTCAAACAATATTAAGGATCTGTAAACCAATACTCATTTGCATAAGAATAACTACCAGTGAATCTTGTATGATAAGTTATTTTGTGGTGGAAGTACCTATCTCTTAATTGGTCTGATAAGTTCAAATTTTATATCTAGGTTTCCTAGTATGAATACTTAATTATCAGGCCAGTTTTCTTGCTGCATTTTGTGATGTTCATGACAGTGATTATTTTTTGATTTATGGAACAGTTTTTCATGTGAAAGATTTTCTCCTGTTTATTTGGTTTTAGATCATTATTTAATACACATTCACTTTCAAATGTTTCAGGCAACAGCAGCAACAACAGCAGAAGCAGCAGCAGCAGCAGCAGCAGCAGCAGCAGCAGCAAGTAGATCCACCAGGACAGGTCTCACATCCATGTGAAAGGCCAACCACAAGTTCAGGAGCACGTGGGAGTGATCGAGGTTTGGATCTCTGATTAGTAGTCATCACATTTGTTACTTGCATGCTCTATTTGATACACAAACTCCATGTGATTTTGTTAATAACTTCATTTATTTTTATGTGGTCCTGAGGTTCAAACTCAGTGCCTCACACGTGCTAGGCAAGTCCTCTACCACTGAGCCACAACCCCAGCCCTCCATGTGATTTTTGCTTCATATGTTCTCTTTCCTCTTTAGTCCTGTTAAAACTGTTAATTGAATTTGTACTCTAAATTTCCCTGGTCTATAGAGTAGGCAGACTAGAGTACTCAAAGAATATTTGGTTTTAAAATTATAAACATAGTACATGCAACTTCACAGTAATTAGTATATTCTCCAAAAACTCCTCAGAGATAGTGAATATTAATAGATGGAAAATAAATATAGTTTATTACCTAGAAAACTAAAAAACATTTGAGTGTAATCCAAAGATCAGCAGGCTTAATAGTTCTTAAACATTGGTCAAATGTTGGTAGTAGAAGTTGAATGAAAAGGAAGCTGTATCTGACAAAGGATTTGTAAGGTGAACCTGCAGAGAACTCTCAAAACTATACAGTAAGAAAGTAACTCAAATAAATAGATGAAGAATTTGAAAACTCAATTCACCAAATAACACAGTGATAAGCAGAAATGGTCAGTATCACTAGTCACTAGAGAAAGGCACAATAAAACCACAGTGACGGGTCAGGGTTGTGGCTCAGTGGTAGAGTGCTTACCTAGCATGCATGAGGCACTGGCTTCGATCCCTGGCGCCACATAAAAGTAAACAAATGAAATAAAGGTATTGTGTCCATCTACAACTAAAATATATTTAAAAAAAAAAACAAAACAAAACAGTGATGGGGCTGGGGTTGTGACTCAGTGGTAGAGGACTCACCTAGCACATGTCGGGCACTGGCTTTGATCCTCAGCACCACATAAAAATAAGTAAATAAAATAAAGGTATTGTGTCCATCTACAACTAAAAAGTATTAAAAAAAAAATCACAGCCAGCTGTGTGGTGGTGCATGCGTATAATCTCAGTGGCTTGGCAGGCTGAGGCAGG